CCCTCAAACGACGGCCTGCGACTCATAGCTTCCGCAGGACACTGAGCCATGACTCCTCTTCATCACACCTGTGCAATATGGTCGCCTCATGACAGCTGACACTCGCGCCACCATTTCTCCTCATTGCAGCGTTTGACGCGCGTCAGACACTGGCCCACTCACCGCATCACGCACACAAACACGCGCAGCCCACATACTCACCTCCCGTTACACCCGGGGCCGCACGTCCCGCACGCACTTAAGACTCCGTTTGATCGCTCGGCGTGTGGAATGTTGTCATATGTTGTTGTTTTTGTATCCCTCTTCAATGCAGCGGTCTCACCATGTTCCCCCTCTCTCGCGAGCCCGGACTGCCTCCCCGGTAGCAGCAGGTGGACGCGCCTCTCGCGCCTCGGAGCCCCTACCACTCCATTTTATTCCCTCGCGCTCCAGGGTTTCCAGGAAACAAACAAAGGTCTGCTGCAGCCCCTGCTCCTCGCCGCATGCTCCTGCTCTACCGTTCCGCTCTCTCCTCCTTTAGAGGCGCTTTTGTTTTTGCCTTATGTGCGTGTGTGACGGAGACGGGGGTGTGCGTGCGTGTGTATGTGTTTTTCCCAGCTGTACCCCGTCCGTCCCTGACAACGACGGCGCGCTCGTGCGCTGCTGCTCCCCCTCTTCTGAGACCTACCATAAAGAGCGCGCCCCCATATTTTGCACGGCGGCGCGCTGAGGAATCGGGAGCGCGCGGCACTGCTGAACAGGTGCAGAGGCGCACGCATGCGCACTTATGCTTTACGAGCTCCAAACACTAGCTAGGGGTCTCTGCAGATTTAGTTTACTTCCCATAGACAAACTGGTATTATATACGCAGTTACATTGCAAACAAACAAACAAATACACATCAGCGAGGGAATTTGAAATCCATAATTCAGAAAAATCCATCATATTGAAAATAAAATCTTTGTTTAGGACACTGGTATTGCATGCGCAGTTACTAAACGAACAAAACAAATAAATAAATACAAAATACATAAAATCAATAGAGCGAGGGAATTTGAAAGCCATGTAGAAAAGCAAAAAAAAAACAAAAACATGTAAAAAAATTAGTTCTTGTAAATTAGACAATTGCAACCTTTCTGTTTTTATTCAAACACACAAATACTCAGTTATATAGCTCTTTTTTGTGTGTTTGACGTGCGTAAATATTTATTGGAATTTGAATAACACATGTACAAATCATTTACCGTTTGTTTGCTGCACTATTTGTTGGTGTGTTGAATCATTGTCCTGTGAGATTATTATTTATGATAGCATTTGTTATATTTAACCTTGTAATTACCCTTATTAAATCATGATGTATTAAAAGCACCACAATTCGCTGCTCACCCAGTCACTTGTGCAGCGCCTCTGACGGGTTTGCGTGAATGAGGGCCGCGGTGTCCCGCCCCTTACGCCAACGAGCTTCAGACTGGCAGGATTTCTATCCAATCATGTGAACAGGGGATATGACGTCAGGTTGTTGTTCCCGGGAGCGTGAGTCATGTATCACGCGTCTCCTCCGCTCAGCTGTAGACATGGCGAGATAGTGGTATGGTTGAGTGGGGATATGATTGGGGGTTTAGGTTTTCTATAGAAAAGACACAGTCAGTCTTTTTTACAAGGAAAAGAATTCCGGAAGGAATTAAGTTACAAATGTATGGATGTACAAATATAAGAAGAAGAGATAGTGGTGAACTCAAGGAATGAATGCTATAGTTTTATTTTTCAGTTCCTTAAAATAACTAATTTGTGGGAGAGAATTAAAAAAAAAAAAAAAAAAAAAGGAAAAAAGGAAATTTGGCAGGGAAGAAAGTGGGTGATTTAGTCTGTAAACCTATTTTCTGATCCACACTCCGGAGCAGAAGGTGGCGGTAATGCACCAATACGCTGGATGCCAACCGCCGTAAAAATATAAGAAGAAGAGATAGTGGTGAACTCAAGGAATGAATGCTATAGTTTAATTTTTCAGTTCCTTAAAATAACTAATTTGTGGGAGAGAATTAAAAAAAAAAAAAAAAAAAAAAGGAAGGAAGGAAAATTGGGAAGGAAGTAAGTCAATTTTTGATCCACACTCCATTCCAGTTGGTGGCGGAAATACACCATTTTGTTGTTTGTCAACCGCCAATAAAATTTCAAGAAGAAGAAGAGATAGTGGTAGATACACTGAATACATCGTCCGTGGAACAGCCATCATTTAAGTGGACCAGGTGGTTTGGTGTAGTGTTTTTTTCTTTTCATTTCGTGTTAGTCCTATGGAAACGGATCTTATCGAGAAGATGCCGTGCCATAACCAGCAGCTAAATAACAGCGAGAGCCCCGAACACGCTGCGAAGCACGTCCGCTTCGCCCGCAGCAGCGCTGCCGCCGAGCCCTGTCAAGATGACACCAAACCGTGTGCAAACCAAACCTTGAGCGACATCCAGCGACAAATAGGACCTCAGCTGAAACTCTTGCCATTAAATGACCAAATACGAGAACTTCAGACAATCATTCGAGATAAGTGAGTGTCCAGTCCGCCTTTCAACCGAATTTGCAATTGAGTACACATTGCGTGTCCCATACTTAGCCCAGATCTTATCATATGCACCTATACACCCCAGCATGTGTACAATAACATAAACCTGTAACTTATCAGAATGTATCTAAAATGTACACGGAATAAACTGGGATATAATCTCATGTCATTTTGTTGCACATGTATCATATATTGCAACAAGTCGTCACATTGTGACTTTTCCTCTTTCTGTTTCACTCAGAACTACCAGTAGAGGTGATTTTGTGTTTTGTGCGGATAGATTGGTAAGCATCACCAAAAACGGTCAAAATGGTAGTAGTCTTGTTTCAATGTCAACATATCAAACTAATGGTTTATAACCAGCTATTATCTTTATTGAAGGCCTTGTAAATAAAGGCAGCTTGCATTTGGTAATTTTTCAATCAAGACATATGAATATATGGTTGATTGCATTTCACACAGTCCCCGATTTCCTTTTTATTTTACTATATTATTGAAGAATCCACTTGATTGTTTTTGTATTGTAAAATTAGTAGTGGCTCTTATGTTCTGTATTTTGTTTGCTACCCTTCAATTTGAATCAGATTGGCTGTTTGTTTTGCTCCCAGATAAGATTAGTGGTGGAGGAGGGTCTCAATCAGCTTCCCTACAGTGAATGCACTGTAACCACACCAACAGGTAAGCCTGTTACCATGCTGATTAATTCCTCCAGTTCATTGTAATCCTTTTGCATATTAATATAACACTGCCACCATCAGCTGTTGAGTTTGTGCAAAAAAGCTTCATTCTATGCTCCTTATGCAGGACATAAATATGAGGGTGTGAAGTTTGAAAAGGGAAACTGTGGGGTTAGCATCATGAGGAGTGGTAAGTCTCTTTTTGTCACACACATTCATACACACACACACACACAGAGACATGGTGTGTGCATGCCCTTTATACTAATACAATACTAAAACAAAACGCATGTATTGTGTGAGCAGGTGAGGCCATGGAGCAAGGCCTAAGAGATTGCTGCAGGTCAATCCGTATTGGGAAGATTCTGATCCAGAGCGATGAGGAGACACAAAAGGCCAAAGTTTACTATGCAAAGTTCCCTCCTGACATCAGCAGAAGGAAGGTTCTGCTCATGTACCCTATACTTAGTGAGTACTTGACCTCTATAACAAGGCATAAAACCGTCTTACATAGAATCTGTGAATTAATTTTTTCTTTTGCATTTTCTGCACTGATTTGGGGTCATGGTATAAATCATTTGTTGAAAAAGAATGAATGAGGATGACAGGAATTGCAATTTAATCTGGGCCTACCTGTAAGTACTCCAAAAATTGCATTAAAAGGCACAATTCATTGTTGGGTAAATGTGTGTTCAGGTACAGGCAACACTGTAATAGAAGCAGTGCGGGTGCTGAATGAACACGGCCTGCTGGCCAAACATATCATACTACTGAGTCTATTCTCCACTCCACACGGTAAGACACACACAAACACAGTAAAGACTTGATCTGTATTCCCATTTATGTATCAATTACATGACAAATATCTGTATTATTTTAACTATCTTCTTAGTACTTATTAATAGTTCTCAAATAAAGAAAGAAAAAAAGTATAAAATGATGCAAACTTAACCGTAAACCTAATCCCAGTATTTGGAATATATTCACTCATTTATAATCATTTTTTGACATGTATAATTTATATACACCATTCAAAAAGTTGGGGTCGGTAGTTTTTTCTCAAGAAAGTATCTCAAGAAACTTTTATAATCGGTGTTGAAAATGATTTATATTATAAATTATATATTTTTTGTATTAATGTCTTTACTGTCACTTTAGTTTTCACTTCCTATATATAAAGTCCATTTTTAAATAATGCTGTGTGCAGGTGCACAATCTATTGTTCAGGAGTTTCCTAACATCACTATACTGACAACTGAAGTTCACGCTGTTGCTCCGACACACTTCGGCCAGAGGTATTTCGGCACAGACTGACAACCCAGCAACTGCACACACATTCACTTGGATTCAGCTAAAGTGGCTTGCATGTTGTTTTCTTTTCTTTTTCATCCATCTGGTAAAGCCAACAGAAAGTGTCTCTGTGTATGTGTGATTGGTTTATCAGGGCTGGCCTCTGTATTTTTATTGGTGGTGGTTATGGATTTACCCATGCTTAATGTGAGCAAGTGTATTACAATCTTTCAAATACATGTGCTTATCCATGATGCCACCAGGATTAAAACAAACTGTGTTCTAGACTGTTCCTAAACATTCTAGAGTGATGCAAACAGACAAAGAAATACAAATAAAATATTTTGTATTAAATTGTTTTTTTTTTAATAAAATCTGTTATTCAGTTCATACAAAACACCAAACTACATTTCACCACAAAATAATGAATTTACACCTGATAAAGCTCTCTCACACCCTGATCAGTAAAAGAGAGGTTTCAGAGAACTGATCGCTCCTGCAGGAAGTGTTTCAGGTGAAAACTGAGCATGCAGGCAGTTGTCTCCCTGAGGGCCTCCCGCCACTCCTGTAAGCTTAACCTATGATTGAGATCTTTCTAAAATCGCCCCAGTTGAGAGACTCGCTGTGACAATGTCACATGACACATTCTGTCAACCTACAAATACAAAGAACAGTTTATATTATATAACAATTTGAATACTTGAATGCTGCTGCTTTGGAGGTGTCCTTGAAAAGCAGAACAATCATCTCTCCTACCTTATTTCATTACTGCTAGTCATCCACTGCTTTGGTAACAGAGACCCCCTCAGGTGAGACTGATGGCAGCACAGAATGAGAGACAAATAGCTCAAATCAGAATGTTCGATCAGGTTGTGCAGCCCTGGTTTGGCCTCAAGGGGGCAGTATAAACTAGCAGTCTGAACCTCTTTTTTCCAAAATTACTTGAATTGCAAAATAAAAAATGTTTGTATTACAATAAAAGCTTCCATATATTTCTCTCTTAAACGGCCAGTTACTGAGAATAAAAAAAAAAGACTATTCCGAGTGCTATTTGGAGTTTGTTTTACATCAGTAGGGGAATTTTAAAGTAAGTGTTCGTAATCCTACTCTTTGTGATAGCACACTTAAGTTAATGACAGAAGCAGAGAGGAGATCACCTTCAGAGACAGCGTGAGAACTGGGATAAAGTCGGTCTCCCTCTAAATAAAAGAATTACCAAACCATTCTGATTACAGCAGTGACACAAAATTAGATAACTCTACAAACCGGCAAACTAGGCTCTAAATGATTAACCAATAAACACAATTGACTGACTTGTGAAATATGATTCAGAAAATATGTCTTACCCACACTTCCTTCCATGGCATAATGTCCATTTCCATTCATCACTGAATGACTGTGAGATGACATCTGCCATCTCAAGGGGAAAGAATGTCCATCCCCATGACTGTAATGGACACAACAGAAACAGTTGGTAAACAAAAGCTATGACATCTGTGTTGTGGCATTACATCAAAATAAATCACACACATCTTAAATTCTTCTGATTGCTGCCATTTAACTAAACAGGGAAATACCAGTATTAACAAGGATATACAGTATTGAAATGTATCAGTACTAGCATTTCAATCTGAAAACTGGAAAATGTTAATATCAGGAAATGTTTTACACTCTCTCAGCTGTGCCTACAGTGATTTTACCATGGGTAAGCACTAAGCAGTGTCATTGGGCAAAATGCCTAAAGCTCATTTAACTATGGTAACGTCACATGGTGGCAGTACCAATATGATATAAGACAGGGGTGTCGAACTCCGGTCCTGGAGAGCCGCAGCCCTGCAGAGTTCAGCTCCAACTCTAATTAAAACCCACCTGCCTGTGGCTTCCTAGTTAACCCTTCAGACCTTGATTAGCTTGTTCATGTGTGTTTGATTAGGGTTGAAGCAAAACTCTGCAGGGCTGCGGATCTCCAGGACCGACGGTCGCCACCCCTGATATAAGACAATAAGCGTTCATTCATGTTTCTGAAAGAAGTCTTCTATACTCACCAAGGCTTTATTTGATAAAAAATACTATAATATTGTGAAATATTATTATAATTAAAAAATAACTAATATTGTGAAATATTATTATACTTTAAGAACTATCTTCTATTTTAAAACGTAAAACTTTATTTAATCCTGTGATGGCAAAGCTGAATTTTAAGCAGCCATTATATATCTTCCATGCGGAAATGCTGATTTGGTACTTTATTGTCGTCAATAATTCATTATCTTGAAAAGTTGTGCTGCTTATTATTTTTGTGGACACGATGATACATTTTTTCCAGGATTCTTTAATGAATATAAAGTAAAACAGCATTTATTTGAAGCAGAACACTTTTGTAAGAATAAATGTCTTAACGGTCAATTTTGATCAATTTAATGTGAATAAAAACAATTTCTATAAAAAAAAGTTTTACTGGGCTCAAACTTTTGAACAGTAATCTATGTTTATTATTATTATTAATTTGAATAAACAATTATTCTTCAAAAATGATTGGTCAATCTTAAATTAGGTTGTTTGTGGTTGTCATGCATCATCGTGCACATCTACAAGCACATTAGAAATCTGATAACTCACAAATATCAGCTTATTAAAATAACCATGCACATCAGTAAAACTGCGTTTACATGACTTAATTAATAAATAAGGTTATTTCCCCGTAGTGACGTCAAAACTTAACTAACCATTTGCATATCTGACTCTGAGTCAGTTGTGTTGTTAAATAAAGCTTGCAGCATGTCAGCGGGAAACTTACAGCTCCCATATTATCCTCTCATGCAGTTGCAGATGCAGCGTTTTGACTGCACCACTTCTACATATGCTGCGATTTCAATTTTTCCTTTCTCTTTGGAGTGTTACAAGCTCTTGGTGCATAAAGATCATCTGTAAAGTTGCAAAGACTAAAGTCTAAAGTCCAAAGAGATACTCTTTATAAAAGTTAAGAGTCAGCCACACCTACCTAAAACAGCTCATTCTAACACGCCCCCACATGTCTACATCACGATGTGGGAAGATTTGCATAACGCCGCCCAAATGTTCACGCAAAGAAAGAAGGCGTAACTTTTATTCTCGATGTAGTATTGTTGTTGCCGCCGCCATCTCATAAAGACGCTGTGTGTTTCGTTGTGAAAGCGAAACTACTTTGTTTTGTCTTCCAAAAGAGGACGATATCTGCTTTGTCATGCCTGGAGCTGATCCGTGCTGGTTGCTGAGGAAATACTACAACTTTGCGCTATGGATCGCCGGATCGGCTTTCACCGTGGACGAAGCGGAGTCTAGCCTGGGGTCGTCAGATGTGGTTGCTGCAAGCCCACACGCCGCTCCTTTGTTGAATCCGCCGCCTCTGCTCACTCTAGCCCGCCGGTCGTTCCTTACTTTATCCCCCGGCCTCTGCTCACTCTAGGCCGCCGTGTGTGACGCTGTGTTTCGTTGTGAAAGCGAAACTACTTTGTTTGGCCTTCCAAAAATGGACACAACTAGAAATCAGTGGTTAAGTTGTATTTACAACACTGTTTTTCAGACCGATGAGCTTTGTAAAAATCGACGCGTTTCAGAAAGGCGGGGCATAGAGGAGAAACAATAATGTACAGTATGTGGAAAATAATGTTTTTTGAACCTTAAACCGCATAAACATTTCATTACACCAAATAATGTTCTTTTTAGCAGCATCATATGACCCCTTTAAAAAAAATGTCTGGGTCATGCGCACTTCAATAAGCCGACAGAAAGCAGGTTAATGTGTTTACATGCCACACAAAATCTGTGCAGAATTTATGCTTGCACCGTTTATGACCTTATTTCGATCAAAGAAAACTGGTTACAGCATTTACATGACCGTTGTCGGCTTATTAACGTGCATGTAAACTCACTTTACATCCGTCTTTCGGATGAGACGTTAAACCGAGGTCCTGACTCGCTGTGGTCATTAAAAATCCCATGGAACTTTTCGTAAAGAGTAGGGGTGTAACCCCGGTGTCCTGGCCAAATTGCCCCCCTGGCCTTTGTCAATCATGGCCTCCTAATAATCCCCAACCACTTGATTGCCTCTATGACTCTCTCTCCTCTCCACCTGTAGCTGGTGTGTGGTGAGCGCACTGGTGCCGTTGTCCTGTGGCTGCCGTCGCATCATCCAAGTGGATGCTGCACACTGGTAGTGGTTGAGGAGAGACCCCCTCATATGATTGTAAAGCGCTTTGGGTGTACAACAATACACATTAAAGCGCTATATGAATGCATCATTCATTCATTCATTCACTTATTGAGTTCTTAAAGCAGGGATCCTCAAATCTGGCCCACGAGATCCACTTTCCTGCAGAGTTTAGCTCTAACCCTAATCAAACACACCTGAGCATGCTAATCATTGTCTTCAGGATCATTAGAAAATCACAGGTAGGTGAGTTTGATCAAGGTTGAAAATAAACTCTGCAGCGCATTGGCCCTCCAGGGCAAGATTTGAGGAACCCTGTCTTAGGCTGCGTTCACACTTGGCATTAACATGCGATCACCGTGATCTGATCAAGCAGATCGGATCATCAGTCAATCAGGACACGGCGCGTTTACACTTGGCAACATCAGCTGACTTCTCGATCGGATCTGTATTTCCCGCGCAATATTTAAATAAGTCTGCGGTGCAAAGTCGACCTGAAGTGGTGGGTTTTCTTTTGAAAACTATTTTCAGTCACGGGACGAGTCTCACTAGCGCTCTGTTCTTCCGACAGTTCGGGAGAGAGGGGGGCAGAGTTTTGCGTGATGTCGACCTGCGAATGCAGACACGATGGCTGGATTGCGTTTACATTACACCGAGATCCGATCACAATGCGTCCTCGACTACCTCTGGACCAGGACACGCTGATCGGATAACATTCCGATCAGAAGCGCGTTTACACTTGTCTTTTCAATGTGTATGTGGACAACATCCGGATACAGGTCGCATGTTAATGCCAAGTGTAAACGCAGCCTTAGAGTCAGAACAATGATTATTGCTTAATACTGACCTGCTGGATACTGGAAATGGCCAGAGACTTTTTTCTTTCCAAACACCAGTAAGAAGTTTGCCCAGACACCCACATATATATATGAGAGAGAGAGAGAGATCCAAATCAAGATTTCACCAAATGGGGAAAAACATCCCATTGAGACCCTGCATGCAGAAATCTGTAAAAATATATTACATGTGCACCGGCACACAACAAATAACGCAGGCAGGGCAGAATTAGGCAAATTTCCTCTAATCATAAAGATACAAAAAAAGGGCAATTAAATTCTGGAAACATCTGAAGCTCAGTGACCCCCAATCATATCATTATAAAGCCCTGCAATACCAAGAGATGAGCAAAGAAAGCAAGCCCCTCCCTCAGCTGATCCAGAGCTTCAGTCCTGATGCTTCACTAACATCTACTGCTGCTCTGAATCACAACATCAGAATCAATCAGATTACTGCACAAATCAAACAGAACTACATGACTGACTGGAAAACACAAACACAACAACAGAGTAAAGTGCAATGCTATTTGGCCCTAAAGAGAGAGTACAGTATGGCAGAGTATCTGTACACAGTGTCAAAAACTGAGAAGCACGTTGACCAGATACAGACTCAGGGGACACAAGCTGATGATAGAGACGGGCAGACACAGAAAAACATGGCTGCCACCGGAGAAGAGATTGTGTTCACACTGTGATCTGAAACAGAACTGCACTTCCTAACAGAATGCCCCAAATACACAGATATACAGACAGTGTTCTATGATAAAATACAGCAAATACATCAGACATTTAAAACTCTTTCAAACCAGGAGAAACTGCCGTATCTGTTAGGAGAACAGAAGAACTGCTGTGTGTTTGCTGCTCAATATGTGTCTGCCTGTCACCACAGAAGAGAAAACACTCACCCTGCCCTGATCTGATGTTTTCAGCACATGTAGATTATATTATGCCATATTACTGTATTATATTACTTAGACGTATATTTTGCTTCTGTAAATCTGTCTAATCCCTTATTTTATTTTTATTTCTAGTTTACATACATTAGTAATTCATTTTGCACTACATGCTTAATACTTATATATTATTATTATTATTTTTCTTTCTGTTAATACATATGTGCACTATTTGTAAGCAGTCCAGCTGCAATTGCTTTGGCAATACAAATGTATAATTTTTGTCATGCCAATAAAGCACTCTTAAATTGAAAATTGAAATTGAATTGAGAGAGAGAGAGAGAGAGAGAGAGAGGAGTGTAAGCCAGGAATGTTATAGTAAGATTCCGTAAAACACAGAAATAAGTGTTGATTTAAGAATTTAATATAATGAGGATTACTGCATTAGTAAGAACACATTATACTGCAAAAGATAAAACCTTTTTATCACATTTATTCACAAATTATCTAAAAGCGACTTTGCATCAAAGCTATATATTTTATTAGAATGTGTAATATATTTCAAATAATTGAAAAAGTGACCGTAGGTGGACTGTGGACTAGTCTCTACCACTGAAAGTGCATGTTGCTAAAAAATATATGAACTGACCAGCCACAGTTGGATGAAGGTTGGTGTAACCGTTGTGACGATGAGGAGGCAGTATAGAAGTGAGTAGAGCAGGAAGAGCATGAAGAACTTATAGTTGTAGAATCCAATACAGTTATTCAGCCTAAACATGCTCACAAAAGCACACACAAAGAAGAAGAGAATAAACGTCACTTTTTAAAAAAAAAAGAATGTAATTTTGACATTTAAACAATATGTAACGTGTTAAGCAATTTTTAAGTTAATGAAAATAGCCATTTTACTTCCTGAATGCAAGTTAAATAAATGCCTAAATTACTCCAATTACCAGTAGACTGCACAGCCTAAGCAACATCAGAGGGAAATTAAAGATGTTTAAAGGAATATTATACCTACCATTTTACAATATTTTAGGAATTTACTCACTCTTAGTCCATCTAAGGTGTAAATGAGTTTGTTTCTTCATTGGAACAGATAGAAATGTAGCATTACACTTGCTCACCAATGGATCCTCTGCAGTGAATGGGTGCCATCAGGATGAAAGTTGATTAAAAAAAGCAATAATCCACAAGCAATCCACATGACTCATCCATCAATGAAAGTCTTGTGAAGCAAAAAGCTGCATGTTCATAATAAACAAATCCATCAATACGTTTTTAACTTCAAACCATTCTTTCCGTCTAAAATAGTCCTCTATGTATAACATTGCTTTCTCCAGTCCTTTTGTCTGAATCAGGAGAGAAATATGCACAAATCAAGCACTGTTTTCAATTAAGAACAGTCTATAACAGTTCTAAACAAATATGTGACCCTGGACCACAAAACCAGTCATAAGGGTACATTTCTTGAAATTGAGATTTATACATCACATGAAAGCTGAATAAATAAGCTTTCCATTTATGTATGGTTTGTTATGATAGGACAATATTTGGCCGAGATACAACTATTTGAACATCTTGAATCTGAGGTTGCAAAAAAAATCAAAATATTGAGAAAATCGCCTTTAAAATTGTCCAAATGAAGTTCTTAGCAATGCATATTATTAATCAAAAATTAAGTTTTGATATATTTACAGTAGTAAATTTACAAAATATCTTCATGGAACATGATCTTTACTTAATATCCTAATGATTTTTGCCATAAAAGAAAAATCGATAATTTTGACCCATACAATGTATTTTTGGCTGTTGCTACAAATATACCCCAGTGACTTAAGACTGGTTTTATGGTCCAGGGCAGAGGCGGACAGTAACTAAGTACATTTACTTGAGTATTGTACTTAAGTACACTTTTTGAGTATCTGTACTTTACTTGAGTATTATTTTTTCTGGAAACTTAGGACTTTAACTTCACTACATTTGAAAGACAAATATTGTACTTTTCACTCCACTACATTTCTATCAAGGTCCTCGAAGTAGAAAGTCGTTAGCAGTTTTGAAAGTCAGTGGGTGATATTTTTTTTCTTCTCTAAAACGTGACTTTCTTTTTTTCAGACAGTTTATCAGTAATCACTCTTGAAGGGCTACATAAAGAGATTTCCCAGTATTTTTTGAACACTGACCAGTTCCAAATGTGATATTTATTTACAACAATTCAATAATAAGAAGTTAATATTGTGGTATATGTTAGAAACAATATTGTCTGATTTTGCTAAATTGTGTACGTGAAAATATTACCTATAAAGCCACAGAAGAACTGTTGTGCGTCTCCTAATAAAACACAAAAGGTGTTGGACTTGCAGCAGCACTGCACAGACTGTTCTGTGTATGACATTAAAGTACCACGAGAGCGATTAGACAGCATTTAGTAATATTTGACCAGCAGTATCTGTACTTTCACTCAAGTAATGGAGTTGAGTATTTTGTCTGCCTCTGGTCCAGGGTCACATATGTTGGTGGGTTTTGAAGTGAGAGGACAACAGGGGATGGGCATTTTCACTGAAGGAAATGTTATTATCTAAAGGGAATTTGTATTTTTGGCCAAATGGTTTAAAGCTAAAAGTCCTTCATGATGGATTTGTTTCTTACAAACACACAGCTTTTCCCTTCACAAGATGTTAATTAATGGACTGGAGTCATGTCATGTTTTTATCAGCTGTTTGGAAATTCACTGCAGAGGATCCATTAGTGAGCAAAGGGATGCAATGCAAAATTTCTCCAAATCTGTTCCAATGAAGAACTCTACACCTTGGATGACCTGAGGGTGGGTAACTTTTCAGCAAATTTTCATTTTTGGGTAATCTACTCCTTTAAAGGAAGAATAAGTTATTATACTTAGATTAAACATTACAAACTTACAAATATTCTTTCCTTGGAATAAAATGCACCAATAAGCTGTTCACATTAACTGGAAATATGCATTTAGAAAGTAAGCAGGGTCCATTTTTATTTCAATAGTCAGTTTACAAACCATGGGCAATGATGATCCATCTTTAGTACACACCTATAGAAAAAAAGAAAGAGACAGACGCAGGAGTGAAGAGCACAGGCCACAGGAACAATTCTCATTAACTAATAATAAAAAAACAGTGTAATCAGACACACGCATTCAAAACCTCTACAAACACATCTAGTCATTCTTTTTCTCCATCTCACTCACTCTCTCTCACACACACACACTCAGACCTGGACTTTAATTGAAGGATGGGAACCTGATATTGACACAGAGCAAAACTCATTTGAGAAGATTCACTGTGTCCACTCAAATAAATGTGACCAAGCGCTTCAACAACATCCTGTAATTATCACACACACAGATCACATTTCTACGTCTCCCTTTCATTAAGGGAAGAGTGTGTAGATGTGTGGGAGATGCACTGATACACACACAGAAATGGAGAGAGGGAGGGGAGAGAAAGACGAGAGAGAGCGATTCTTACATTTGGCAGACAGAACAGTGATGGCAGCAATCTGGTTTTATCAATTGGCAGTGATGACAGAACCTGATAGCTGAGATGATTCTGTTTCTTTACATGTATTTTCGGGCTCTAAATTGAACTGTGCCAACTGTGCTCAGGTCGGGTCGGGCTGGGTCAGACGATCTCGGGTACGGGTCGGGTTCGGGCTTCAGTTTAAAGCCTGTGCAGACCTCTACCCCACATACCTACCTCACGATGTGGGAAGATTTGCATAACGCCCGAAAATGACCATAATTTGCACGATGGAAGAATTATTGTCTTGTCGTATACAACCATTAAAAAACTTGGCAGAATTTATGTGACCAAATGTAAGAAAAAGTGAAGACGTCGAAGATCTTGATGAAGAATAACTTTTATTACAGAACAGTAGTGACAAAGTACATGTAGCCTAGTACCTTGGGTTCAACGGAGTCAGACTGAACCCCCCTTTTTTTTTTTGCCTTGTGAACTGGCCGAGCCTTCATGATTCTGTTTCTTTACATGTATTTTCGGGCTCTAAATTGAACTGTGCCAACTGTGCTCAGGTCGGGTCGGGCTGGGTCAGACGATCTCGGGTACGGGTCGGGTTAACTGAATATTACTATTATCTGTCACTTACATTTCTATTGTAAAACAGCTCAAATATTATATGTTTAGCTATTACAAATACCTCAACTTTTTTACAATGTGTAGAACTGTAATTCATGTTCGGCTTCTGTGGACAGTAAACCCTGTCTTCTTTGATTTGATTGGCCATCTTAATCATTTTGACATTGCCAAGCATTACTAGACCACCAAGCCTCAACAAAAAGCTTTAACAATTTTGTCATCCTAACAACAAACAGAACGGTGCGTAATGAAGTGAATTGTATATATAGCATAATCCACTGGATGCAACGAATGCCTCGTTTATAATGAGTTTTCATGTTTTTGAATCATCGCTCCAGCCTGACAGGGCATCATCACAGTATGGTAAGGGGCGTAACATTTCCGTCTCACGCTTGAGGTATTCGGCCAATCATAACGCTCTGGATAGCTGGCCAATCACAGCACACCTCGCTTTTTCAGACCGATGAGCTTTGTAAAAATCGACGCGTTTCAGAAAGGCGGGGCATAGAGGAGTAACAATAATGTACAGTATGTGGAAAATAATGTTTTTTAAACCTTAAACCGCATAAACACATTTCATTACACCAAATACACAAAATAATGTTCTTTTTATCAGCATCATATGACCCCTTTAACAGAAATTTATGATGTTTCAACATTTGTCTAAGTGATTTAAAGTCACTATAAATTATGTCTTGATTTATGAAATGGCTTCAAAACTTATAAATGGATCACTTACCAAATAATAAGAAAATCAGTACAACTACAGTAGGTGCTTCAGTCCTTAGACCCCAAACTAAAAAAATAATAATAATAAAATCCCATTGCTTTTAAAAAAGGAAATCTACTGGCCATTCAGGTAAAACACTTGTGCCATTTGTAAAATAGTTATGTATTATGGACTAAAATCATATTAGTTTACGCAAAAATAATGTTATCCTTACTATTACTGTTAGCACATGCTGATCTATATCTAAAATACATTTATTATTCAATTCATTTCTTATTCACTTTTTTTCTTATCTTGTTTGTTGGTTTTGTTTGTTATTGACACACTGGTGTTACTGAATTGATCACTTGTCAAGTTGTTTACACTGTATTAAATGAAAATTATATATTTTTTAAAATAAATTCTGTCAATTTTCTTCTCCTTAAGTTGTACTAAACCAGACTAACTTGCATTCTTCACACAATGTTTTTGAAGTGTTGTGGTCAGTTACAAGACGGTGGCATTGAACATCATAATTTTTTACTGATTTTCAGCAAATAATGAATTTTGTTTTGTTGCAGGGCTGGGTATCAATACAGATTTCGCAATTCAATCTGGTTCCAATACATTTGGGTGTATTTCAGCTATAATCTCCTTTTTGTGTACATATGGGAAAAATTCTTTCTTTGCTAATGCTGAAAATTGAGACAGTGTTTGATATTGACTCAAACGGTAGCTCGTCTCTTTGAAATACTCAATAAGAGTCATTAATTTTGGGAAACGGGCTACACTGATCGGACTGCATGTTTTTGATTTACAACATTTTTAAAAGCATAGACCTAAAATATAATTTATTTTGCCATAGTGCTAAATATTCAGTACTGGCATCACAGATTCACCTGTGTTACAACGCACTGATGCAGGGAAACCTTCTAACATGGTGCAGATGCTTTTCACTGAAAGCCATTCAAAATGCACTAATTGCAGATTCAGTGTCTCTGGAGTAATCAGAGTTCAGTGTCCTCCCTCAATTACATGGTGCTGATAGAGCAGGTTAATGTTTACAGGTTCAGTGTGAATCGAGTTACATTTGGACTAGATCCAGTTATGTTTTGAGATGTTATTTATTCTTCACACTGTTGTTTTTATATGTTATAGTGCCGAAGGGTTTCCTGACCTCGGGCTGCGGGTGTGAATTGGGTGTGAATTGGAAGCTTCCGGGAGATTTCCAGAAGAATCTGACTCTTCTCCATACCGCCACATTCTTGCTCATAGAGCAGCGAGTCTGAAGAGGAGAGCTGAAACTGAACACAGTAATCCGCACACACATACAATTAGTAAATTAGACTGCGGTGCTCTGAGAGGGAGAGGGGTTTCTTTTACGCTCATTTGTCACGTATGACATGCCTGATTGAATAACTTGCAGGTGGACGGCCTGACCCCCGTAAGAGCCCAAGTCTACTTATCGCTTCTGTTGGGGTGAAGCCAGCACAACTGAGGAGCAGTTTAAATTCCCCTAGCCAAAAAGTACTGTGATATACTACGGTACAGAGATGCAAGGCCATAACCATGTCAAACATTAGGAACATTAGGGGGGACCAACCCCATTTTTTTTGTGTGGGGGGATTTCATTGAAAGAAATAATCCAATTAAAGTATTTTAAGGGATTTATAGGAATAAAGAAATCGCAAAAGAACTAGAATTTATTGTAATCTATCTGAATAATTTGCAAATAACATTTTAATTCTACAAAATATATTTTGCACACATTCCTTCTTTCTCTTACACCTAATGTTCATAAAAAGGATAACGTTTCAATTACGTTCATTTAAGAATTATATTATAATAAATAAATTATACTCTATTTTCAATTCAAAACAGTGAGATCTGACATAAAAGTAGTCTGAATAACTGAATATTACTATTATCTGTCACTTACATTTCTATTGTAAAACAGCTCAAATATTATATGTTTAGCTATTACAAATACCTCACAACTTTTTTACAATGTGTAGAACTGTAATTCATGTTCGGCTTCTGTGGACAGTAAACCCTGTCTTCTTTGATTTGATTGGCCATCTTAATCATTTTGACATTGCCAAGCATTACTAGACCACCAAGCCTCAACAAAAAGCTTTAACAATTTTGTCATCCTAACAACAAACAGAACGGTGCGTAATGAAGTGCAACAGAGCAGCATCAACTCAACACTCTCAGAAAAATAGTATAAAAGCTGTCACTAATGCAGTACCCTTTCAAAAAGGTACCATACACCATAAAGATACTGATATCTACACTTCAGGTACAAATATGCACCTTTTAGGGGTAAATAAGGTACAAAGATGTACCTTTTGAAAAGGTATTGCCTCAGTGACAACTTTTGTACCTTTTTTTCTGAGAGTGAAGAATATCAAATATTGGTGGGGAAATTTTGGCTATATCGGACTATTTGGGGGTAGGAGGTGGCCTCATCCCTCTCAATTTCTATGGTTACAGCCCTGTAGTTGTGGTACCAGATAGTCATACTATCACACATTGTTTATGTGGTACTCCAAGTTAGGTGCTTCAAAAAATAGTTATTCCATGGTACAAAATACATGGCGTTACCATCGTACCATGTACAAATGGGGAAGTCGTGGCCTAATGGTTAGAGAGTCGGACTCATAACCCAAGGTTACGGGTTCGAGTCTCGTACCGGCAGGGATTGTAGGTGGGGGGAGTGAATGTACAGCGCTCTCTCCCACCTTCAATACCACGACTGAGGTGCCCTTGAGCAAGGCACTGAACCCCCAACTGCTCCC